GAGAGAGAGAGAGAGGAGAGAGAGTAGACCTAGAATGAGCTTTTGAGCCTAGGTGCATCTTCATCAGTCTCTTTGTATGCACATGAGAGAGAAAGGTCTTAGCCTTTGTGGGTCAAAACTAAGGTCCAGGGCTTAGGTGCATGTTTTATATAAGTTCGGTTGAGGAGTGGGGTATAGAAACTAAGGTGTATGGTAAATTATGGTGTAGGGTGTAGGTTGAGGTGTAGGATAACTAATGTAGGGTGTAGGGTGTATGAAGTAGGATTGGAAGCTATGAGTTCTAAGGTGTATGGAAGCTAGAAGTTCTAGGGAGTATGGGATTGGGAGTTGGGGATCCTACAGTAGTTGGAACTTTGGGGGCTCTAGGGAGTGAGGGCTCCTGGGGGTATTTTCTCTCTCTAGGAAATGTTTCTCTCTCCTCCCTTCTTAAGTCTTGAACTTGAAATAAAAGCAAAAGAATAAGTAAGAATTTGATTGCAAATGACTTATTCAAGAGAGTTCAGGAGCTCCAAATGACTACGAGAGATATTACAAATGACTTGGGTTTCCTTATATAGAACAACCACTAAACAAGGGTGGAATACTAAAAAACATCCAAAATTGTAAAAAAAATACACATTTTATGAATTAAAATATTAATCTTTTTTTTGGATTGAGTAACAAAAATTCCCCTAAGCACTTTTCAACAAATAAGAAAACCATCGTTCCATGAGGGGCCACTTGCCATTACTAGGCCTCAAAAATTTTTTCAGATGCTTACGATGGTAATTCAAGTGATCAATCATTGTAGAATCGATGCTTTAACTTTTGTGCACAATTTGATACACGTTGATCGTCTTGAAATGGATTTGTTAGGAAGAACCCAAAATCCAGCCAAGTTTCATGAACTTGTGATTCTTCGACGACCAACCCAACACGATCTATGACATTCCAAATCTTCATTTTGATCACAAATCGAAAGGGATACAATCACGGGCATTTTGCAATAAATTTCATCAATTTTGGTCTTCGTTTGAGCATATTCCAATTTTCGAAAGTCATCAAAAAATGGGATTTCTACGACTGGAAAAGTATGCCATTTTCAACCTCAAAACACATGTCATCCGGCCTCCAATCATACATAAAAATTATACCAAACTATTGTTAAATGTCATTTTTATGTACTTGTATCCTCGGAACGAATAAGGAGAAAGCCAGTAGTAACCTGGTCCCGCTAGTATGCAAGACACTGCCAGACTAAGGGAACACAACAAAAATAAGCCTAAAACTGGGCAACCCTCTAGGAAAATATCAAAACGGCTTCAAAATGCATGAAAATGGTAGTTTAGGATATACAAAGGATACATGCAAAGTTTCATCAAATTCTGATAAGTTTTGATATAATCATAACGAAACTTGATTATATATATATTTATATGTGTGTGTGTGTGTATATATATATATATATATATGGAAAAGTCTTCCCAACGCTTATAGGCGAAAATGAATAATGATTTCGCCTACCCTCATCACCGTCAAAATTTCATCGCGTGGTCACGATTATTTGATAGTGTTTTATTTTTCATTTTATTTCTACAAATTAAAATGACCAAAAATTTAGAGGGTATGTACATCTTACTAAAGCGCATTCAGTAAAAATATAAAACGTATTATCCGTGAAAAACATATTTACCAAAATACCCCTACAATTTTTTGGGGGTATTTTGGTTACTCTTTTCATGTAAAATATTTTTTTTATATTTTTCAAAGATTCACTTATTTTTTATGAATACAAGCTCCAAATTTTTTGGTCATTTTCGTTTGTAGGCATTGCGTAGTGGTTTCC